ACAATAGTTACAAATTATTTACATTCAAGTTAAAAATACCTTCTTCCTGAATTCTGTAATGTATTTTAATTAAAATTTAAGCAATACTTGGAAATGCTATACCTTATCTTTTAAACGGATTAAAAATTGGTTGGAGAAAATTTATATTTTTCAAACTTTTAGTACAAATTTTGATGTTAGTCTTTAAAAACAGTATTTATTGTATGGAATCGAATAATTTTTTTTTAATTGTAGACAATATTTTTCTATCCGTATTATACAGTCATCAAGATTGGGGAAACCCTAGTTATTAGCGTTTTGATAGTAAACATATATTTTAGATAACAGACTTCACAGTCCTCGTTATCTTTTATAACATGAGGATTCTATACGCTAGTGACTACAAACAATATTCTAGACGTATTTATGTTCATCAATCTTAGAGTGATAAATTTTTTTACAATCGATGAGAGTATACGATAATCGTAAAAAAATCTACATGAAATTCCATGGAAACGTACTGGAAATATCTTGCATGTTTGCACATTAAATTAATTTTTTTTTTAATAACTAAATTTATATTGTCTATCCCACAATTTTTAAGAAAATACTAATAATTTTCGTTCATACCTATAGACTTATTGGTTAAAAATAGTACTTACAATAAATATTATTTGTTAGTAGCTCATAAGTAATTATGAAGGCCTGTATAAATTTAATTCAATTTCTACACAAAGTATATCTCATCACCAAGTGTGTAAATATTCAGCGTAAAAAATAACATAATAAAGAAAAGTATACTCTCATAGCAAGAAAAATCTTTAACCTTACAACTTGTAAAAATGAAGAATTTTCATTACAAGGTCTTCTATGATCAATTGACAATCTTATAACAATAATATACGTTAATACACATTAGTACTCGTATTAATTTACACAATTATAAGTTTCAGCTACATTATTGATAATGAGCTTTGATAATCATTTCGTGGTATTTCAAAGCAGTTTATCCAAAAGTTTTGGATGGACTTTGAATCCAAACCTCGATGTTGCATAAACAAATAAACGACACGTCAAGGTGTACCGTGCACGTCAGCACAGGTTGTCAAATGGTACCAAATGAAAAAACATACACCAAACCGATGGTCCGCGAGCACGATAAATTAACACAGAGTGGGTCCACCGCGTGTGTAAATCGCGTGGAATAAACGAAAACCGCAAGAAAAGGAGGAGCAGCGGTGTAGTGTAGGTCCCTTGAAACCGCGCGGTCAACCACAGGCAGCGTTTAATTTGAAAAATAAGAAGGCGTGGAGTCTCGCGCGCGGCACATTCGTATTATTACCATTATCATTATTCGGAGGAAGGGGGTTTAGCTCCCTCCACTTTGGGACCACCCAAAAATTTCGTAGGCACGCGCACGTATCTCATCCACCGCCTTGTTTTGCATCTTTCGGATGCGTGTGCCCGTGGTAAGGAGAAAAAAGGAAGAAAGAAGGGGTGTAAGGATAAAAAAAAAAAAAAAAAAAAAAAACAAATAGAGAAAATCGAATGCGTGCCTGCGATTGTTCACGCTCAGCGATTCATTAGGAGCTGCAGCCAGTGAACTTTTCGGATGCAGATCAAGGGAGGATATGGGTGTGGGGAAGGGAGCCGAAAAGGTGCTCTCGGCTTGATTTATGCGCGTATTAATCGTCCGTCGAGCGATCGAATTGGCCTTAAATGTAGATTTGGATGCGAAATATACGGGCGCGTTCGTATAGTGACATTCAGTGATATAACACTTTTTGCGGATCTCATGATAACGTTGGCTAATAATAACGTGCTTCTACTATACAATTGTGAGCTTGATTCCCATAAATGACTGTCGCTCGATGAATCGATTCAAGCTAAAACATATATTGCTATTTTTGTCAAATTCACCAGTAGATGAAAAACAGAAATGGAAAATTTATGCCAATGAGCTTCCGAACAAGGGTATGATTGTTGCATAATTTTAGCGGTTAACCATACATTGTAAAACAAATAACGCGTCAGTGAACTTCAGGAAACTTTTACTACCCACAGGACGTGGGTTGCATTATACGTGTCTTGCAGAATAAGGTATATTTTGTGTGCAAACCCATTACGGTGACTCTTTATTAGCAGCGGTCGATGTTAACTTTTTTTGTATTTTTCTTCGTTTTTATTTTCTGTCCCATAAATCATCGAGAGCATCGATTGTGGGTTCGTTGGAGTCGAGGTCAACTTATAGACAGGCCTCGATGGTTCATGTGAATGGCTTTAATCAAAGAGTATAGCGAAACGTCGTGTACCCATGGATGATTAATTTTACTGTGGCATCAATGCATTTTTAAATACGACTAGAGCAATGGTTAATTTTATTAACTTATTATACCACAGCAGCATTAAAACATGCTTGTAACGTTGGAACATCTCTTTGCAAGATCTTCAACTATAAGAGCATCTCCAAATTTTGACTGTTTCAAATTGTACAAGATGACTTCATTCTTCTTAAAAAAATAAAAAAAAAAGTGGGATAGATGAACATCGAATGTTATGGTAAAGAAATAAGGCTACATCACTGAACTACATAATAACTCTTTAATGATATTGTAAGACCCCTAATTCCGATGTACATTTGTAAAAAATCATGGGAGATACATGGTGTACAAATTGGAAATTTTGTAACGCCGACTCGAAAGTATCCGACTGCCGAGCAGCACTACGGTGGCTCGAAGCTCGTAATGGTCTACTTCGACGTTGGGCGTCTGGGATTCCCAAAGTTGGATCTGTAAAAGTCCTATGTTTTTCGAAGACTCTCGATAATCTCGCTTCTCATCCATACTTGAAAAAAATTACCGAGAGCCTTTGAAAAAGCCTGGTATAGTTGGTGTAGATGATGTGGTACGGTATAGTAATGTCAGCCAGTATCAACCATACAATAATAATACCAAATATACTGGATATAGTTAGCAGACTAAAAGTACAATACCAACCCTGACTTGGGGCGAAGCCCCATTAGTATATATGTATTAATAGGGCAGGGGATTGAATTCAATATCTCAATAAATTTTGTGGCAGGAGCTCAATCCAAGTGAAATAACGGAGAAATTAAAATATCAAGGACAAACATAATAAATACTTAACACTTTCAAATTATAAAATATTCAGTAAACAACATAGAAAGTCTAGGATTCTTTTTCATAGAAAAATGTGTGATGGATTTTTGAAAACACATCCTTAAATATCATTGAAATACAATGTCTTATAAAGAACATCACCAAGTTTCGAATCTTATCACACTTTCAAGTATATAATAGGATTTGGAAGTGATTTAATGAAACGTTATTCATCGTCACTTAACATAAGAGCCGGAAGAAAATGAATTTTTCGTATAGATATCCCTGTAACTAGTACGTTGTAATATTTTTCTTTTGAATTTAACAGTTTCATAATTGAATAAGATTTCATCTCCTGTTTTCATATTTTTAGTTTTTTACTGCTTTAAATAAAAAGAAACTATTACCGTGAAATTTGTCATTCCTATTATTACATTCCAAGTTTTTAAAACAGGACTTTGTTGAATATCGTTTTAATTTGGCTATTATCTTTTTCCAATTCAGACAGAAAGGGATAATGGATCCAAGAGTTCTTATAGGAAGCTTTCTAGTAGCAGATGCGAGGCGTAATTTATTTATTTTTAGGTTTTCGAGCTAATTGGCAAAAAATGTACCCAGTAGTAAATTTTTTTTTTCTTCGTAGAGGAGATACTTTTTCAGAAAAGTGATGAAAATTGAGCAAAAATGAGAAGCATTGAATATAAATTAGGGCTTACATCTTTCACACAATGGTAGTAGGAAGGTATTCGTAAAAAATATTATTTATTCTTGCGTAATGTTTATTTTCATCGTAACAAATTTTTGTTAATGTCTTGTTTCCTTATAGTATCGTTCGTTATTTGTTATTTCATGTACCAAATAGTTACGATCATTCAAATGTTATGGTTAAAAAAATTAAATTTCATCAAATACTCCATATTACCTTATTACCTTATTTCGGATTTTTCATCAAGCTTGACGAGCAGTTCAAAAAGCTCGTGGATTTGATTGTCAAGCGCACATTGCCAGTAAATTCTTGGGTGCGTATTCGGCGGGGAACTCATTGAAAATTAACCCATGGACCTTACCATACAGCGTGGGTGTATAAAAGAGAGAATCATGAAGAGAAGATCAAACTACGAAGTTTATGTAAATGACGAGCAGAGTCCAGCTGGCCTCCAGGAAGGCTGTTTGGTATGCGAGACCACGATCTTGCAGTGCACGCTGTCACTTGGGATTGGAGCGTTGTGTTACCTTTATGTGAACGCGTGTACAGTAATAGGGATAAATAAGCAACTATCGAGAGACAGTGTGGGCTTACCCTTCCTTCTCGCAGCAGATTTACCATCTCTTTTGTTGTACCGCCCTCCTACGCAGGCTTATGTATGCCGAAAGTAGTTTTTTTATTTCATACCAAAGTACTTCGTTGAATTCTCTTTTTTTTCAGCGTAAAGTAAATCACTTCGTATGGGCTCTAGAGTTTAAGTCGTACAAGTCACTTTTGTAACACATTCAACAATAGAGGGTGAATTATTCATTCATACATTCATTACGTGCGTACGAGTCTTAGGTCCTTTCGTGTAGATTACGTATATATAAAGAGGGGATCAAATTTGTAAAAGCCAGGCGCAACTCCATTTCTCTACCATATCATTCATGATTAGAGAACATTGTAATATAAATTGCTTTATGAGAGCTAAAGTTTTTTCTTGCACAAAAAAATTTTCTGTTATCTTTGTAAGATGTGATATGTATTGCAAAATGCGACAAAATTGGTAGGTTTATTGATAAAATCATGCGCGTGATAATCTAAACTCAATACTTAAATTCGTATCGGTATTGTACAAATTGAATAAGGTTTTTCCTCATCTACTTGCGTAGGAAGATTACTAATAGTTTTCCACGTTTTTTGTCCTGTCACAGGATTCCATCGGTGACAAAAGCGAGGAGAAAAAAGTGACCACGACCCCGACGACCGTAGTTAGCCCAACTCCCTCGACCACCGTCGCGCCCAGCAGCACCACCACTTCGACGACGAGCACGTCACCGAGAACCACAACAACAACGACCACGACCACGAGCACGAAGACGTCGATAACCCCAAGGCCAGGGGGGAGCAGTCGCAAGGAAAGCCCGGCTTACGAGGCGGCGTCCACGGGCTCGCAGTACAACGGCTACCAGGCGAAAAACGACTACCCGGCGATGTCGGCCCACAGTGCGCTCAAGTGGCAGTACCTCGGGACCCGCGAAAGCGTCACCGAGACCCGCAACAACATGCCGCAGTTCAGTAAGACCGGCAAATGTGAGTTTCATGTCCATTCCATGTATATATAAGTATACTCATTTTATTTCCACGATGTATACTGTGTTGTACTCGTTGGTAATTGCATGCATCGACGCGTTCATCTAAATTTAGAGTTGGAAAAATAGGAGTTAACGCGTTAGAGCACACGTAAGTACACCAGCCGCCTTGAAGACACGCATTATAATGATGTTGTTTGCCTGTTTCATGCGCGATACCACAATAGGCTGTAAATCGATGAAAAGTTGGCAAAGAGCGCGAGAGTGTTTCTTTTTTTTTTTTTTTTTTTTTTTTTTTTTTTCAAAGAAAAAACTATAGAAACAAAGTTGCGATCCAAANTTTTTTTTTTTTTTTTTTTTTTTTTTTTTTTTTTTTTTTTTTTTTTTTTTTTTTTTCATTCGAGACAGATGCATTGTCCCGTATGTATACAAGGGTCACCGGGATGATTTCACGCTTCCAAGAACAGAGACGTTAATGTTGATGCAAATTGAAGATTGTTACTTCATTTTTACGTTGCGTTAAATCGTTGAATGTTAATAATCGTTAATCGATCGGGTAATGCCACTCGCTTGAGGCTCGTAGTGCGCGGTTTGATTGATGGATTGTGTGTTGAAAAAAAGCATATTTATTAAAGACGTGGATAGAATCGTAAGTGCTTGTTCACCTTCTTTTTTTTTTCTACAACCACCTAGCGCCTTTTTTTTTAGTGTTTTGCTACAATTATTGTTACGAATTCGTTAAAATTTTATTACGGAAGCGCAATCGTACGTACTTTTTGCATCACTCAGAGGACAAAGTCAAAAGAAAACGTCGAGATGAAAAATAATTGAACTCGTGTGGAGAAGGAAGTAATTACTCAAAGGCCCGTCCGCCCAATATGGTTCTTATGGACCAGCCTTCCAATAAAAAAAAACAAAAAAAAAAAAAAAAATACACCCAAGCTCGGGTTATTCGCACTTGGTGGTCCATATTAGCTCGTATATGTTTACTTTGGTTTACTTTGTACTCTGTACATGCACAACACGACTAATTAGTTTTTGATACGAGTAATGTCTCGCACGTGTATGAACCCTCATATGCACGTGCTTAACGCGTCCGTTCAATGCAGCTTTTATTTTATCCATATAAACTGAGGACTTGAATAAATATAATCAAGTACATTATACTCTTTATTCAAGTAATTTTAATAAACATTAATAATTTTTATATATTTTTGGTGCCATTTTATGTATCAAATTAAAATATATCTCTTCTCTATACTTAACCCATGCTCACAGTTTTTTTTTTCTTTTATGAATTTTTATCAATTTTTTGGGGGGTTACGTTACCTTGTCGTTTATACCCATATTCTTTAGTCATTTACACTTATTTGGCCCAATAGAGAAGCACCACAGGTAGTTAACTACATTACTGTAAATATACTTTTTTCTTTAATTAGAAGTGATATCGTAATATACATGTCCTTATACCTCTACAATTTTTAAAAATTTTGCATTCAACGCTTGCTTATTGATGTTACTGTAGAGTACAAAGTTCATGGTACATGTGCACTTTACAAATGATTTGATCCCCATGTACGCTTCTAGCTTGAGCTGACGAATAATCCCTGAAACAGCAGGACACAATGCTATTTGTTGATATTACAGCCCAGGGCTAGTGTTAGTACCGCTAAAATGGCATTGGTGCGTTCAGTTGGATCGGTGGAAGTGTTGTTGAGTACAAACGGAAAAATAATGAATTAAACTACATGACCTTGTTTTTTGTTTTACTGTCTCAACTTACAGAGTTATTATTTTTTTTTTTTTTTTAGCTTGACATATAAACTCGACTAAATCGCTGCACTATTTATGGGTTTACTTTTTCTACATTTGTAGCAAAAGTCATGTATTGCAATTGCAGTATACTGCTATATTTTAGTGGGGTATAGGTTTTTAAATTTATAGGGACTAACTTCTATGGATATTCATTTTGGTTAACGAATTTCTTGATAACACGTACACTGCTTCAAATATGCAGCTCGTAAGAGGAGAAAAATATAAACAAAGAAGAAAAAAAAAATCATGAAAAAATTGTGAAAGCCAACGCACATACGCATCCTTAACCATATCCGCATAACACCATCGCTCATTAACGCTTCGAATCGTTAAAAAAAGCGTTCCCCCATCGCACCTGATAACCATCGCCAAAAGTAATGCGATGCACGTCGAGTTTACTCACATCCATGCTCGAAACAAAGCGCCAAACCTCGTTGATGCTCGAAATTCCAGCTGCCGAGATGCACGCGGCTCACAGTCACGCGCTCCACGTGGCCAAGGAGGGCAGCTGTCAGTGGCCCCGGGCGAAAGTCGTGCCGGTACGCGAAGTCTACCCAAACTCGACGGCCACCTACATTCCCCACTGCGCCATCGTGCACCGCTGCTCCGACGACACCGGCTGCTGCAGGTCCGAGACCTTGACCTGCGAGGCCAAGCAAACCCACAACGTCGAGCTCTACTTTTACGTGAGTACATAAGATTTATGTGTACATTCATTCGTACGATTTGAAATACCATACAATGTAAGACTGCATCGTGAACATTTTTAGTTTTGTGCAAATGTTTCCAAAAATACAAAATTACTAAAGAAAAAATGTGTACGTAATTGGCTGAAGTGCTGGGCGGGCGATAAATAAGTGTTATCTTTCCATCAGGAAAAAAAAAAGTAACGGTAAGCGTGCAAGACAGGATGTATTGTCGTGTACCTATATACTTGATTGTATGTCTCCACGGAGTAAGGCCGTGGGGCCCGCAATCGATTTCATGGAAAGCCCAAGATTCCACCAAAAAGAAAAAGATGTGCGATCGCGTAAGATTATTCAACACCGAGGGTAATAGCTTGCAAGACGAGAGAGCCATCGGGAATTTCGGTATTTACACTCATCCCTTGCAACCGACGTAATGTAACAATGAAATTGTCGCGACCGAAAATTGCCTCAATTATGTGCGAGTGAAAGTAAAGTCGTGACTGGCCTCGTTTCGCCTTGTAAGTTGGTCGTCTCGATGAAGGAGGGGTTGGCGAGTGTGTAATTCACGAAATTAAGATACCACATGCATCCAGAGATACGTACATTTGTATACCCTGCCCGAGTACTTACCGAATAAATAATTGTTTTGGGACGCGCGTGTGCACGAAGACGTCAAAGCCCGTGTACGCGATGACGACTTAATGGTGGTTGCAAAATCGTTCTTTATTACGGAGGGAAAACACAGGCTGCAAGAGCAAAGTGTGTACTTAGGAGAGCAACGCGTTGTCGATTCGAAATAAATGGCCCTGTGGTGAGAGACGTTATCTGCGTGTATTGATTTATCGTGTGCATTACCGCGTAGTGGTGATTTTTTTTCTTCTTTTTTTTTTCATCAGTAAAATCAACAACCAGTGTTTAGTGCTGAGGTAACGTTGTATTAAGAATCCACGGCGTTGTTGATGGTGATAATTAATAAACCGTCCATTATTCTCAGGGTACATAACTTGTCCTTACACGAGATTGAAAAATACCTATTCCACAGATGCAGTCTCTACTCGGTCTCTACTTAGTAAAGATTCATTGTCTACTGCGGAATAAAAAAAATTGAGATTGACTTGTCAATCTTTACTATTTATTTTCAATTGCCTTGCGTTTCACCTATTTCGATCTTCTTCAGACGCTACGCATATTAAACTGACAAACTACTGGTGAAATTGAATTACATACCTAATACATTACGAGTACATGCAGAAATTTGTGTATAGTTGAATAAAAAGGCACGCCCAATCCTTTCAAGATTAACTGAGGAATACATTAGATTTTTTACATCTATAGATTTCTTGGGAATACTAAGAAATTACAAATTCTACCTTTATTATGAATATAAATAATTTCACAGTTGTCATAAAAACTTATGATTACTTTGTAATATACGTGTAGCATAACTCGAAGAGTCTACTATGCTTTTTTGTGTTCTTTCATAAGCTTATCAAAACTTTGGCTATTTTAGCTCACATACACCAAACTACAAGCACCAGTGTTTAATTTATAAACGACCGATTTTTCATTTATTTTTGTGGGATCTTTATTATTTTAAACAAGTTTTTTCAAATTTTATTCCTTTGAATAGCAATAGAAATGATTGTGCATACAGTTAAATGGACTTGGCGGATATCAAAAAGCCTTAACGAAAAAAAAAAGATTGCGTATTAATCTGAATGGAAATTGGGAACGAATTCGTATAAGACAGCTCGAAAGCGCGGGTGATACCAAAAACAAGTCCCGATTGAATTTTTTGCGTGCCACAAGCGTAACAGCAATCACAGCGGGAATGCAAAATATTTTGCAGGCTCGATGAAATTTTAATGAAAGTGTGCTGTACGCCATTTATCCATTTGTCGCTCGCTGATTTCATTAGGTGATCGTTATTTGCAACCGGTCGAGCTATCGTCGGGTGATTGATTAATCGAGCAGTGCGATAACGCCTCGAGACGTGCATTAGGTAATCAATTTCACAAATTATCGATGTGCGTTGCGCCACTTTCTTGTTTTCGTCTGTACTTTTCGACTCGATAATCGCATCCATCCATGCTCCTGACTACTTTATTGATTCTAAAAATCATTGATGGAAATAAAACAAGTTCATGTGTAAATAAAACAATAACAACGTGGCTGCTGCAAGAGAGTATATTTATTTTGGTTTTAACAATCGGGTCAGAACAATCAAAGGACAGGATGTAATGAGAGTATTAGTACTTTATTTACTTTTAATTTACTCCTTGAAGTATTTATTTTTTGCAACCGTTGCAGTATGGGGACACTCGAAACTTGCAACGGCAGCAGATTTTCCATCCCGATAAGATCAGAGATACGTATAATACGTGTGACTCAAGGAAATTCGCCGGAGTTGTTTAACGCTGACTTGTTTTGTGTTGGCTCTCCCAACTCGTTTTAAAGAGCCCAATTATTGCGACTCCACCATCATACAAATTGTCAGTGTTTTTTCCGATTTCGTTAAGACTTCGAATTATTTATCAGACCGATAAACAAATAATCAAACAGCATTTTTTTCAACCACATAAATATCTTGCTTGAGCTCGTAATTAGCGCAAGCAACCAGTCGGATCTCGAGGGCTTGCAGTCTTAAAAGCCTTTTTTGAAAATCAAGCGACTAATACTTTTGGAAAAGCAAGTCATCATAGCTATAACATTTGACCGCTTTATGGACGATACATTTAATAAAGATATTTGGTTTAATTCAATTCACAGTAATTTTTGCAATAAACATACTGTGCTATTAACGAGGCTTATACTTCAGTCACCTCCTTGTCCACATTAATTTGTTTGTTCTTTAGTAAAGTATTAAATATTGTTTGACTCAGTAAAATTGTCTAAATGAGACTATTTACACGATGTAAAATATGAATAAAAGATAATGAATAATAAATAAATGTATACTTTAATAGACTTATTTTGTAATCTCTTGTTTTCATTGTAGATTGATTCTTCACTTGTGAAATTAATATGCAAGAGACAATACAGTTTTTTATGCTTAGTATCCATTACCAAAATAAAAAAAATTTCACTACAAAACTGAACATTAAGAAGAAAATTTACACCCCAAATCATCTCGGAAACGATCCACCAAGCCCCACATAACGCAACTCTTCTTCGCGAGAGGTACCTTCAGTCGCGCGAAAAATTCCAACAAAGCATAAGAAGAAGAAGAAGAAGAAGAAGAAGAAAATGCCGCATCCAAGTGCCGGCGATCGCTCGCGTATCGATAACTAGCGACTCCGTTACATCAGGGAGATTCAGAATTGCGATTTATCCCATACCATCACCACCGCGAGCGGACGAAGCGGCGATTCTCGTCAGAAATTTATTTCCCTTTTCTTGCACGTACCGGAATTCGTCAGACCTCGCTTCCATCGAAAAAGTGTGCAGATCGCGACGATGAAGGTAAGAAAAAGCCGATCAAGATCGGGGTCGCAGATACAGCCCGAATTTTTATCCTCTGCCTGAGGCCCTGTCACGATGTTGGGCCGAGCTACTCACAATCCAATTCGATTAATTTATTTATTTCGTACCAGAGTCGTCACACCTGCTCCACATCTACACGAGAGCTTCCAAAGCTTCTTTTACTGCAGCGTGTGAAATTCGGTATCAGAAGTGGGAAATGGCTTGTGATATTGCTCAAAGCAGTCGAGTGGGTAACTTTCCCTGTTTAGATAGTAGCGGTAAAAACTTAATTGGGATGTTTGCACGGAATGGCGAGCTGGAGAGCCCATCTCGGATCAAAAGAGCTGCAAGCCCTCGAGATCCGACTGGTTGCTTGCGCTAATTACGAGCTCAAGCAAGATATTTACGTGGTTGAAAAAAATGCTGTTTGATTATTTGTTTATCGGTCTGATAAACAATTCGAAGTCTTAAAGAAATCGGAAAAAACACTGACAATTTGTATGATGGTGGAGTCGCAATAATTGGGCTCTTTAAAACGAGTTGGGAGAGCCAACACAAAACAAGTCAGCGTTAAACAACTCCGGCGCATTTCCTTGAGTCACACGTATTATACGTATCTCTGATCTTATCGGGATGGAAAATCTGCTGCCGCAGCAAGTTTCGAGTGTCCCCATACTGCAACGGTTGCAAAAAAGTATCGCTGGTTAGCGGTACTTCGCATCAGACATGTTTATATGCATCCACATGGAAACTCACAAATGGCCATCGCACGCGACGTGAATCCATCATCGTTCGCACGGAGACAGCGTTGATTCGATCGTCAAACTACATGTTGTATTTTTATTGTTGTCTGCAAATTCATCAGGTCGTTGAATTGAGAAATCTACATGCCAAAGCAATTTTACGGGAAAATCAGCCGCAGTGTCGTCAAAAAAATTATTTCCACGCCATTTTTTATTCGATGAATGAGAAATCTTATTTCCACCTTACTATATCCATGCGAATGGTTTACATTTTTTAGTTTAAAAAAAAAAACAATTCGTTTTCGTTGTGGTTTCCAAAAAAACAATTTTTGACTGATGTGGTGTGTTAATTACTATAATTGTTAAAACTTTTCGTATCTTGGAGTACCATGTATATATAAAAACAAATGTGATCAAAATAAGAAATATCGCATCCTTTAGCTATAGAAGGGAAAACGTGTTTACAACAGGTTGGATCTTTGATTTCTCAGAAACCTAAATTATTTACCGATATACCAATTATTGCAGTAGAATAATTTTTGTTTTTATAACAACCACTTCAACAGATGTACTTATACTAATGAGCTGCTGAATAATTATGAACTATTTATTTATAATTTTTACTCCAGATTTAACACTTTTAATTTTAGTTAAATTAATACAATTGTTAATAGTATGTTTATCCAGATTGTTTTTTTATCCAAGTCATATGTACGTCTTAAAATCTAGTAGAAAAATTTTAATTCATGATAATATGGCCTTGTAAACGTTCTTGTATACACAAGGTAGGTTTT